CTTTAAGCGGCCTCAAAAACACTCATTCGTGACAGGAGAATATGAGGAAGTAAGAATGTCTAGACTCCTAAAACTTGGGTCCGACAGCATTATTCACGCTGCCTCATTAATGCACCTAACAAAGGTATCTAATTTAGGAGACTAGTTTTCCTAGGTGATAGATGGAGACAGATCTTTCAGATGGTAATTTGAAGATGTTTGCCTTACATGGATTGTGAAGAGGCTACTGTAAATCCACTGATGATATAGGGAGCCTAGGAGGAGTAACCACCTATGTTAGTTACCTCATATTGGGCAGAGAGAACTCCCCCTACACACTACCATCCTGCAACCTTTATGCATATGAGTAAATGAGTGGAGATAGTCTTTTACTCTTAGTGTGTTCAGTAGATTCGGTAGTTGCCTTTGGTGGGAAAGAAAAAAAAAAGAGTAGTAAGGTAAATGACTGTTTCCTTGGAGTACAAGGGAATGGCAATCTATTCTGTGCTTCTGAATAAGGCCAGTAGCACACTAGCACACTACTGCTTGGGCCTTGTGTTTGGAAGACACTGAAGCTTCACACACTGTGGAACAAATATCCAACTGAAAATGGCCAACTGAGTAATTTTCTTCACTGATTTTAGACAAGGAAATGTGTGGACAGTGAATAAGGCAGTTGTTCTAGCCTTTTAACTACCTCTACCCTCAATAAAAGCTGGAATGCAAAAATCTCTTGAACTCAGTTTGTTGGTAACCATATTAGAAATCCCAGATCATGTAATGTACCTCTGCTGAAGGCAGTGCTAAAGACATCTGGGTCCTTGAAATGTTGGTTTCTGTTATGCTTTGAGTGGAAAGAGAACAGTGAAAACCAAAACCACTAGACAGTTTACAAAAATTCCAAGAAACAGATGTGGGTCTTTTGAACTCAGAAAATACTTCCTATATTTGCCAGTTACACATTAAGCCTAACCTGAAAAGCATGAAAGTAGAAGGACTTACTATGACTCGCAAGAATTAAGTAGTTGGTTGGGGGAAAAAAAAAAAACCAACAGAAAAGTATTTAATGCCATTCCAGGGAATTTCAGCAACAGGAGGGCTACTGGCTATTTTTTCTACTGCCTTTCATTGAGAAAGAGTGCTGTGAAGCTGCACCTGAAGTGTCAGATGATGACTACAGCTGAATAGGTTTTACATTCACTGGTTACTCATGCTGCTAACAGTAACTCCCAAACCGTAGCATCCATTGCTTGAGATGATTGCCTTTCCTGAAGACAAAGGGGAAGATTCTCACGGACACTTGATTTGCAGTGATGTCTGGGCCTGTAACTCTCCCCTTGCTTTTGAAAATGTCCCATGCCATTTAAAAGAAGGTTAAGAATCTCTGTTGGCAATCCTGTACTGCTGCAATATTACTCCATATATCAGTGGACTGGATTAATGCACTGACTTGCCTGGAGGCTGAATGAGTTTCAGTACTCTGCAGTGCAAATCTGGTAAATCAAAGTTCACTGAAGGTACTGCAAGTATTCTAGACTCTACTGAGCTTTAGGACCTGTCAGATGACACAGAGACAAAGGCACCCATGCCTAGACACCCATGGTCTTACAAATACCATTTCACGTGCTCTGGAACTGACAACCTATCACTCAGCTGTGGGTCAATCGTAACTGATCACACAAGACTGGAAATATACAACATATGATGTAGCACAGTAAACAGAAAAGGAGCCAGGAGCGGATTAGCTGAAAAAAGAAGGAATGAGAAAAATGTCTCTTACCTGGTCAAGATTGTTGTAAAAATCTATACTGGCTGCACACAGATATCTCCCAAGCAGAGTCGCGTGGGTAGTAAAAATTGTGGCAACAGGAAGTTTCTGAGATCGAGACAGTATTAAACCCACTCCTGCCTGCCACTCATGGAAGTGGGCAATTATGTTGGGCTTGTCGTCAAACTGACAGGAAAGCTGAAAATAATTATAAAGAACACACATGAAACACATATTATACTGATCATCCCAGCCTTAGAAACTTCTTTTTTTTCATGCCTTCTTCTGTGTGCTTGCTTTCTTTCATATGACAAAGCAGTACAGCATTCTAAGTAGTCACGTGTCTTGATTCCCATCAGCCCTAATCCTTAGCCCAAGAAGCACATGTGCCTCACTTGTGCTTCAGAACAGTATCCTTCCTAGAGTGTTGAGGAGCTCTGGCAAGCACAGTCACTCTTCTTTCTTTTAACATGCTCTTCTGCTGCTGAAACTCTTGTTTGGATAAGAAAATCATGAGCACCTATGACAGACAGATGATTCTGCAGATTAACAAAGTCTCCTCTGTCCAGGTAGGCTGTGGTAGACTGACGTGCTGTCATTAATTCTTTCTGTTTGCCTCTATTCCCTGTGCAAGGTACTATCTAATAGCTGAGATATGGCTTCACTGGCTTTAAGAACAGTTTATGAGTGTGACAACTTGACTACCATAAGAGAGGAAAAGGGAGTTTGAGATCCTACCAGTAAGATTTCACATAGGGCGCCCACCCGGAAAAACAGTTAAATGAGCACTTAAGATTTAAATTTTAAATACAAATTTGATCTACATCAGGTATCAACTTCCTTAAAATAATAATTTTCAAACTGGAGAATAGGAACCACATCCCAAAGCTTTTTGCCCTGACAAGGCTGAGGTTTGAAAATCTCTAGATTTAAAAACTGTACCTCTTTTAAAAACCAGGCTGTTAATGATCCAAAAATCACAGCATCGTTGGCTTCTCGGTCATGAAAAGGGATTCCTATGTTGCTGACATCCCAAAATTCGCCTTTCCACCTGTCCAGATTCCAGGCTGCTGATCCTATATCAAACAGCAAGACATATGGGCTGCCCTCTATCAGCCATCTTCCAAAAAAGACCTATGTGAAAGAGGCAAGGATATAAGCAGAAAATGTTAAAGTGAATGTCCTGGTTTCAGCTGGGATAGAGTTAATTTTCTTGATAGTAGTTGGTATAGTGTTATGTTTTGGATTTAGTATGAGAATAATGTTGATAACACACAGATGTTTTAGTTGTTGTGAAGTAATGTTTACACTAGTCAAGGACTTTTCAGCTTCCCATGCTCTGCCAGGTGCACAAGAAGCTGGGAGGGAGCACAGCCAGGTGCTCCCTGGCCAATGGGGGTATTCCATACCATATGATATCATGCTCAGTATATAAAGCTGGTGGAAGAAGAAGGAAGGGGGGGACATTTGGAGTGATGGCATTTGTCTTCCCAAGTAACGGCTAGGCGTGATGAAGCCCTGCTTTCCTGGAGGTGGCTGAATACCTGCCTGCCGATGGGAAGTAGTGAATGAATTCCTTGTTTTGCTTTGCTGCAGGCACGGCTTTTGCTTTACCTATTAAACTGTCTTTATCTCAACCCACGAGTTTTCTCACTTTTACCTTTCCGATTCTCTCCCCCATCCTACCAGCGGGGAGTAAGCGAGAGGCTGTGTGGTGCTTAGTTGCCGGCTGGGGTTAAACCACGACAGTGAATGTAAAGGCCAGTTAGCATAACTATTTTCATCCGTCAAATCTCAAATATTTTACATAAGGAATACCAATGTTAACTTTTTTTCACGGAAAAAAGCTTAGGAAAACTATACTTGGTTGAATAATGAGGTCCTATGTTCTTACTGAAGTATCTATGCCATTTTAGTTCTTATTTCAAAATTATTATTTTCTTTCAGTCAGATTTGACACCAATCTTTTGCCATTTATGCTAGATTACTGGTGACAGATTTTGTAGCACAGGTGCTTGGGACCTGTATCTACCATGACATTTCCTCATTCTGCCCAAGCAGCGCAGTTGATGCCCTTTGGCAGAGCGGGAGGATCAATAAGAAGGTATAATACTACCTAAAATCACATCAGCCTAAAAATACAGCTTTCCTGCTTTATCTGCATCACTATAGTTAAATATCTCTAAGAGTATTTAGAACTCCACTGATATAACCTACCTGCCCAACCAGGAGAGTAGGCTGAACTGTCATAAGGCAACAAAATCCAGCTGGGCCCACACTACAGATTGTACCAGTCTGCACAGTCAAATTATTTCACATTAATTCTACCATCAAAATGGCTATAGCAGCAGAGACATTAACCAGGAAGAACGAGGTACTATAGGGAGTCTAATGCAGTTTATACCCCATGCGGAAGAATCTTTTATGCCACTGTTCAATCTCTTTTCATTCACCAACCCCTGGGACCTCAGGGGTTAAACCCAGCCCTGATGCTAGAATGGGCTGAGTAGAGGTCAAGTCTTGAAAACAATGAGATGAGAGCTCTTAGACCTATTTGCGCAAAAAATACAGATTGTAACAAAGACAAGGTGCGTGAAGCAGGGTCAGCTCCTTCTTTCAGGCTATCAGATTTCTTATTCAGGAAAATGAGGTTAAAGGGCAGGGTGTTTGTGTGAACACAGACTTCATCTAAATATGGAGTTAGGCTATGGCAAGGAACACACCTGACCTGAGAAGTTTGAAAGCGTTCTAGGTTCCCTGGTTTAAAGGCATCCATTGTGATGCATAAGCAAAATCCAGACATAAACGTTAATAGGATAAGCGCAGCTCCTGGAAACTAAAGCGTCATTATTAGAGATCAAAGCTATACTTGATGTACCTGGGACAGATTTGCTGCTATATATGAATACTCCAGCAGCACAATGCACATGTTAGGCTGGCAGAGTTGGCTGATTAAATTGAATGTATTGCTGGAACAGCATGAAGTGTACATATAGCATTGCAATTAATCTGCCCCACAAGTCTTCAGCTGTTTTCCAAACAAAGGAGTGTTACACAGCTTGCAGAGACATCTCTTTGTAAGCAACAGAGACAACACGGAAAACTTGATCAATCACTTATGAAAATTTTATTAGAAATAAGAAACGGCAGTTAGATTAGATCTTTTAGTTTGGACCTCAGCCTGAACAATGCAAGCATCACACAGCGTTAGTGTCCCCAACAGACATTTTCCAAAGCTATGGCACATATATGTCCAACAATACGCAATAGGGCATTAGATCCTAAGATCAGCAGAACTGCTGTTAAAAGGGAGATAACACATCGCCAGTGCCACAGCTGGTGGCAGTCCAAGAAGTTTATGAATTTCTACATTAAAGTGTGTCATGCCCCTCAGCAACAGAACCTTGTAAGAATGCTTCCTTGCTGCTGCCTCTCAATGCTTTTCACATCTGTTTGTCACATATTATAAGCAGATAATTTTTTCTCCTCCCAACTAGCATCTCTGAGGGACTCAATGCTGAAACAGAGTGAAGATGAGTTCTAGATCTCTGATGAGGACTTTTAAGAAAGGAGGTCAGATTTAGCATGTGTTATCTTCTACCCATTTTCAGGTAATCAGTTGTCCTCAAGGCTGCAGCTGCTTGCAGCTTAGTAGCTCGCCCATCAACACAGTAGATTCTATTCCTTTCAGCAGATCACCTTTATAGGAAGAAGTTTATTTCTAGTTTACTGTTGGAGAAACTGAGTCACAGAGAGGCTATGCAGTTTGACTGAGATCACACAGAAAAACACTGGTTAAAAATTGTGTAGGAAACACAGATGAACTCACTCCTTGTGCTGTGGTTTAACCTCTTTTCCTAGGGAACAGACGGCTAGTTGCATTGATCTGAGGAAGCAGATTCTTTGTCAGTTGGGTGCTTTTCTTAAGTCCACCTGTGGTTTGTCCCGTTCTGGCTTTCAACTCAATATAGTGCTACATAAGAAAAATTGTGAGCTAATGGAATGCTTTTCTCTCTCCAGCGTAAGAACGCCAAATGTAACGTAAGGGTTCAGTCAAAGTAAGGTCATATTATATCTACTAAAATCTCACTGTATTTAGAGACTGGATAAATAAGTCATTAATCCAATTAAGTAGACTTGCAGATAAATGACTGTTAAAACCTGTAATTGGATAAACTGGTTCTTCCTCAAAAATAACCTTTAATGAATTGTCTCTGCTGTTCTAACAGTGGATTCTAAGCCTTTCCCACTGTGACATTGACCAGGACTGCTGTGTCAAGTGGAACGGCAAGAGCATTAACCAAAACTGTAATCTCCTCAGAGTCAGCTTTGTTGCCCTGGGAAGCAGTAGCACATCTGATTTACCTCACACCCTTGGCTTTTCATGGTGTCCATTGCCTTCTTAACTGCAGGGTTTGGAGGCTCACATGCTTCCACCTGAGTCTTCACGTTGTGCTCAAAATAGGGACCAACCAGAAAATAGTTTTCACCCCATTCATCTGCTGTAATTTTGGCTTTTGTCTGGATCACAGTGTAAATGCCTCCCACTGCAAAAGAAGATCACAAAGAACAAAAAGTAGAAAGGGGCACAGGCCACATAGCTCTGGAATAAGCTCCAACCCACCTGTGGATCAGATACACCTCTAGCTAAATCAGTTCACATATTCAGATTTTAAGTGAAACCCAGTCTCTACCAAATAAATAGAAGTTCAGTCTTTTAAATGGAATCAGAGCTTCACAGTTCAATTAAGGAGTATGCACTGATAGCAGACCGTGTGTAATTCTTAAATGACAATTTAACCCTTTGCTTACTCCTGGCTCACTGCATATGGCTTCTCTGAATTTCTCAATTTCTCTAATCGCAAATGGATACTTTCTATCCTTAACTGCTATTTTTATCCAGTCTGTGATTTTTTTAGATTTCTTTTAGGTGTTCAAAGTCACACCACAAATGTTCAACCAATATATTATTTTATTCTTATGTTATTCCTCCCTTTTTGGACCTTGAAATCTTTACATTCAGATTGTGGGATTCAAATCCTGAGGCTCATGCTTCCACTCTCCCATGCCTAATCTTGATTCTACTCTATCCCAAGTACAGCCTTCTGCTTTTTTATTGCAGCAGTTATAATTTTCAAATATATTTTTTGTGATGTGGAAATACATGTGGTGAGAACTGAACTGGCACTCCCAGCTTGTTTTACACAAATCACTGACAGAAATTGAGGAACTGATGGATTTCATTGACTACTGACTATAAAAACGGATTTAAACCAATATCCTCAACACAAAAGGTGTCATGTTCCATCACCATTTTAAAGAGTTGTTAAAGTTGGAAGGAACGCAGCCTACACTGCCAATATAAATGTCTGCAGCATCTTCCACCAGAATATTGTCCATTTTAAAAATAAACACAATATAAAATGTATAAAAGAATGCGACAACATCCCCTGACGAGTCAGTACACCTAGTCCTGCACACGGTATGCAAGATTCACTTGGCTGCTCTTCCTCACAGTTTTCCATAGCCAGCCCTGTAATTCATGCATTGGCAGGGCAGTCTTACAAAGCTCCCTTTGCCACAGGACCTGTGGCAGCGGATGCTTGAATCCAGCAAGTGGAAGGGAAGGGAAAAGAAAATCAGAGGCTAGGTAGCTGCTGTACATCAGAGACAAGTTTAGCATAGCTCCAGTGATTTTAAAGTATGGTGAGATAAATGAAGCTCCACAGGTACAAGGAAACAACAAAGGAAGCAACAGGAAGGGAATTAGTGTTCCTCTTTAAAAATTGCATTCTCCACTGAATTTGAAAACGTTCGGTAATACTCCAGGCAAGAAGGCTGTGCTATGCTTTTCAGCAGTGACATCAAAATTACATAGCTTGGATTCATATACACATATAATTTTCATAATATGAGACAAGTCAGAATGTTCATCCCATAAAGTGATGCAGTAATGATGACACGTCTGTTCTTATTGGGTGGTAAGTACGTCATATGAGCATAAGGCACTGTAATCCTACATGGATAAATAAGGGGCTTGGTAGAAATCTTAGTCATATAACTAGTTGGTTTTAAGTGGCAGAAATACTGAGCTTACAATAAAGAAAGATTTTTGTGCAAAGCGGCCTGGTGATGCCAGGAAAACAGAAAATATCTACTTGCAAGATGAAAGATACTAAATAACATTACAAAGCTGTATATGACTAGAGTGGTGCAAAGCTCTTTCCCCACTACCACAAGAATGGAGATCAGCCTCTTTCACACTGCAAGGTGTTCAACGCTGGGATCAGCAAGGTAACTGAGTTTCCACAGCTATTAATTTTAAGATTTATACGAAAGCTGCAGCTCAGGAGCTGAATAGAGCCTGGAACTCTGTTTTGTATAACCAACAGCCAAATGTTTCTTTTCACAAGATTTTGCTTAGGATCACTGTGTGTCCTAAAGCGT